GTCGGGGGGTCGGGGGCCCCAGGCAGGGGGGGGGGCGCCGGCCGCTGCCGAGAGTCCCTGCCGGGCTCCTGCGCCGCTTCCGACTTCCTCAGCATCTCCTGCAGCTTTTCAACCCTGACCCGGCGCAAGTGGGACAACTTCCTCATCACGGCAAACCGCTCGAGAAACGTCTCCAGGGGCTCCTCGCCCTCCAGGAACCTCTCGGCCATTTTCTGGAAGAGAAAAGACAGCCTCGGGTTCAGCGCTGCACCCCGGCTCCTCTTCCTCCCCAAGGCCAGCTTCGGATTTACGTCTCTGTCGGAGACACGCAGGGGACCACCGCGCCACACACAAGCCAACAAAGGGCCATCCGATTTTTTTGGAGCAACAAGGCCAAACTACGACGAGATAATCCTCGATTTAAGGGATCAGGCTTGGGAGCGTAACTGCGAGTCTCCGAGGGCTAATCGCTTGAACCGCTAATGGATTTAAACCCTAAGCTCACCTCAGACTCCTCTTCGATTTTCTGGCTTTCCACCTGCAGGAGATCCAGCAAGGCCTGAGGATGCATCGCCGCTGAAAATTTCTCTGGGGAAACAAAAAGAGAGGGGCAGAGCAAAACAGGGAAAAATCATTAGCGCGCAGCCGTGCCCATCTCTCACGGGAGCGGCCCTCCTGCCTTGGAAACCGCTGACGCAAGGAGAAAACCTGCAGAGGAAGGAACCTTAGCCACCGCTGCACGAGAAGGGGGTTTTTTTTTCCCCCCGGGACAGCATCCTCGACCTGTCCAACTGCGTTTGACCAAGAAACAGGAGAATTTAGGTTTTATACGCAGCAGAGTCCCTTCTGCCGCCACCCTAAAAGAGTTTCTCTGCTCCGCACCACCGAGGCCGGGAGAAGCGAAAGGGAAGGATGTTGCACTAAGCACAGCCCACGTGACTCCATCGGAAAGCGTGCAAGGTCTGCAAACCCTCACCCAGTTTTGCCTTTTGCTCTTTACACCGCTCAGCCAGCTCCTGCAGCTCTTCGTATTTGTTAGAGAGGTCGGCGCGCCCCGTCTCCAGCGGCGCCTGGAACTTCAGGTTCTGCTCGGCCAAGCTCCGGTTGGCGGCAAGGGCCATCTCCCTCTCCAGCTGCAGCTCCTGAACCTGTGGAAGGAGACGCGACACTCGCCGGGGGCCGGGCGCTAAGGAAGCCCAGCCTGCTCCGTGCCGGCGCGACGCCGTCCGCGCGTACCTCCCGGGATTCCAGGGCCAGGCGCTCGATCTCCTCCGCGTTTTCCTGCAGCTCCTGGAGCTCCTCCACCGTCCGGTTCCTCAGGGCGTCGTCCATCCTCCCAGAGGAGCTGCAGACTCCTAGGACGGGGAACGGGGAGTCAAATAAAGAGGAGGTTTTCTAAAGCCAGCTGCAAACGGGCGCTAAGCCCGTTAGGGATTTAAAACCAGCTTTGCTAAACCGCTGGAAACGGCTGTGCCGGAGAGGTTCCCCTGCGCTGCAAAGAATCCGCGAGGCCGAGGGCGGAGCGAGAAGGAAAACAAGAACGTGTCGGCTCGTTCCCGCTTCGGCAACCGTCTTTTTGGTTTTTTCTTTCCCTTTCCACAGCGTGTTTGGAAGGATTACTTGTGCGCGCCAGACGGTTTTGTCAAGGAAACACCTACTCACAGCCACTCGACAGCGGGGCGACGCCACCCTGCCTCTCAAACTCCGGCTGGCTCCCACCGCCCCGTCCCCTTCCAGAGTCCCGTTCTGCCGAGCCGACCTCCCGGATCTGCTCGCGCCCGAGCCCGCCCAGGGCCCGTGGGACCGCCGGCGCCTTCCCGTCCCTCGCCACCTCTCCAGTTCCTCGGAACCCGTCTCATTTGATGCGTTTTTTTTCCGTGTTGTTTTCCTTTCTAGCTACGAGGTGCCACCGTTTCCCTCGCTTACTGCTGCCGCCCTTCGAAAACCTTAAGTGGCGGCGTTATTCATAGGTGGGGAGCTCGATCCGATCCCTGTGGTTTTCAAAATCGGCGAAATGTCACCAAAATCAGGGAAACAACGGGTTTTCTCCGCTACGTCCACGACTTAGTCCAAACAATCCGGGCTGGCCGATAACATTTGGCAAACACCAGGTGTTCGTGTCGCAGGTTATAAGAGGTGGGATGCAGTAACGCGGGACCGCGCCAAGAGCCAGGCGAGAGACGCGGGGGCAGCGCGCTCCCCGCCGAGAGGGAAAGGGACGTACCGAACAGCCGACGGGGATTTTCAGCGTCGTCCCGATTGCTCGCGGCTCTTCCGCCTTTCGGCCGGGTGAAACATCCCAAGGATATCGCTCCGGGAACGTCGCGTCAGCCCCCTGCGCGTACCGCAGAACGAGGAGGTTAAGGCTCAGCGTTACCCAACCTCTTCACCCGGGATCCGGCCAAACCCCTCCCAGCAACGGCCACCTAAAAGCCGGGAAATCCGCTCCCCTACCGTGGGTGCGTCCGTAATTTCAGCGCTCTGCAAACAGAAATAAACTTACGGG